ATAACTATATAATACATATATACTATATTATATATATATATATAAATCTATATATATCTCTCTATTTCTCTCTCTCTCTCTCTCTCTCTATATATATATATATATATATATATATATATATATATATATATATATTTATATATATCAGGCTTTCACAGGAAGACGTGCGATTTTACGTCTTTATATGACCACGCAAAAAAAAAAGTTTTAACGATTTGACCACGGCATATTTTTAAAATTTAAAAACTGCATGAGCACTAAAGTTGAGATACACCCTTATTTGCTTTGTTTCTATGTTGCATAATACATTATTTTAATTGATAGCTGATGTAAATCTAACTTTTTGTTTTTTAAATTCTACTCAGAGGTTTGTAATGATATCAGCCATCTAAGGTATTTTAATGAACTGTTGTTTATCTAATTGTTGCGATATTGTATTTTTAAAACATGGTCTGAATAGCCCTTGGCTATTTTATTAAGATAAATTTTTTTTATAGCCATTGTCAAAAAATATACTATCAGGAAATTAACTTCTTGTGTGAGATGTTTCTCAGACCAGATTTTTTTTACTCAACATGAGAATCCTTTTAAGGCACCAGTGATAATGCTTTGATTAATTGGTTTGATGTTAGAGTTTGGCTTTATTTAAACATTAGTTATTGCATAACATCCATTGATTGTATTTTTTTTCTTCTTAAAATCCAATGATTGTAATTGTAATATAAATATCTAAAAATTTAAGTTTTGTTGAATTTATTTTCAATATGTCCACATAATTATAATATTAATTATATTACCAATAGAATTAATGATACATTTTAAAAATTTTTAATCCAAACAAAACTCATAAATTTACTGTTAAAAGTTATTGCAATTTTGTTAATATTTCTATATTGGCAAACTTTAATGTAATACAGTATTTAACATATATTCTTTGATATCTGAAAATTTTTAACTAAGTGCATGCAATAAAAAATCGTAAAATTATGCCCAATGGAAAAAAGAGTGGATTAAAAATCATGATGTAAAAGACTCTTGAGTTACTGTTAATTATTTATAAAATATTTAAAGATTATTTATAAGTTTTTTGCAACTCTTTTTCCTGCACACACACACATACACACACACACATTTTTTCTTTGTATAATTATAAATAAAAACACCTACTGTATAGGAAAGCATTCAGAGCAAAGCTGTTTCAACTCAGAAAGATGTTCTTTATTCAAATGTCTCAATTGAATTTGGTCATGCAGTGGTAGCGGAAGAGAATGAAAGTTTTTCATAGGAATATTAAAATACTAAAAATAAGGTATAAAAAATGAATAATTATGAAACAAAATAATGTTGTTTTTTAAAACAAAATTTATAAATTTTTATTGTTTATTAAATAAACTTTGTAAAAACATTAACAAAATCTTGGAAAAATTGATCAGCAATAATAAACTTTTATTTTTGTGTTATCAATATAATAAACAATTTATCTATCTATTCTCTACCTAAAAAAGACATAACTTAATGATTAATATACTAAAAAAGTTAAAAATAAATCCACTTAGTGTATAATTAAAATTGTAATAGGTACTTTATTAAATAAATCTTTAAATTTTATTTTATTTTTAACTTAATGCAGCGTAGTTATTACTTTTAAGGTGACTTGGAAGCTTTTTTTAATATTACTGAATAAATTAACCACTGGTTGTTTATAATATTGACTTTTAATTTTTTTAGATCAAAAAATCAGAATAAAATCTACTTTAAGAGAAATTAAAGTCTATTTTTGCAAAAAAAAAAGTGAAACGTTCACTTTTTTTTGTTTTTTTTTGCAAAAAAATAAAAGTTTTGTGTCCAAGAACGTGAACACCAAAGAATAGTAATCTAATATTTAACAAAATTAAAAATAATCTGTTTTTTTACAGGGTAAATAATTATCAACAATTTTAAAACCGATTCAGTTTAAATTTATCCTAAGTTATAAGTTTTTAACGTTTTAAGTTTTCCGTAAACTAATGTTATGCATAATACTCACATAAATTCTGCAATATTGTTAGCTTTGTTTTTTGAGGCGGTGCCGATTGGAATACATCAACTTCGCACCATACAAAGTGTGTTTACAGGAAGGTGCCAGGCCAACATTCGTTACTTTTCTTCGTTTATTCTTTATTATTCGAGAGTTATTTAAAACTTTTCAGACAATATATATATTATTTCAAATGTTATATATACCATCATTTTAATTAGTTACTAAAAAATGCATTTTATTTGATAGACTATTGTGCATTTAGTGCAAAATCTAATTTAAATATTTTGTTAGAACAGTAAAATTTAAAAATGGCTGATGAACCAGAGTTAAAACCACTCGAAAATGAGGACCCTGAGGATACTCCTGGATATAAACCACCAGCAAAAAAAAGTTTAGATGAACTAAAATCTATGGATCAAGATGATGAATCTCTTGTTAAGTATAAAGAAACATTATTGAAAGGCATCGATCCAAGTGCAGGTGAATAATTTCTATTTAAAATAAGCTTAACTATTTCTTCTTCAAATTTTAGTCTAAATTATTTTTGAATCTATGGTTTGATATTTTGAATATTATTTTGTTTATCTTTTTTTTTGTTGTTTTTGTTTTTTGTTTTTTGCTTTTGTTTTTTTTACATAAAAAGAAGTATGTTTAAATTACAAAAAATTAAATTTTTTTCCTTTATTGAAAGAGTGATTATAAATAAGTAGTTATGTTTTTATTAAAAAAATATTTAGATACAAGAGTTTTAAGTTTCCAAAATGAAATTTATAAACTTTTTTATTGGAAATATATTTCACTGACAATTGATGATTTTAAGAAAAATCATAAGTAGATGTTATTTATTTTGCATGTTATATTATCCTATAATATTTTAATATTGAATTTAATGCTGCTGCTGTTGTTATTCATTTATGAGTGTTTGACACAGAAGTCATGGCAGCCATTGCACCCAAGTTAATGACAAGAAAGATTCACAGCACTTTTTGTATCAGAAAATGTGAACAAAAGTGTCTATTATCTAACTTATATAAACTTCAAATTATGTAATGTTAAAATATATCAAGTTTTACAGTTTTACTTGTTAGTCGAATTTTAGTTACTTTGAAAAAAAAAGATAATATAAATCGCTGAAGTCTGCTTTGAAAAAAAAAGCATCAAGCTTATACAGTTTTACTAGTTACAGTTTTACTAGTTAGTCAACTTTTACTTTGAAAAAAAAGCATCAAAATAGAGCACTTTTTATAGCAGCTGTAGCTTTTACAGTTTTACTTTTACTTTAAAATTGATCAATTTTTAAAAAATTCTAAAGCAAATTAAAAGATATGTAAAAAAAAAATATTCAAAAGCTGCATGCACTTGACCACTGTCTGAATTTGTTATATCACATTGTAGACCAACAAACTTATGCATGGTCTAAGCAGGACATTTGGGTAAAAACTGCTTTAAAGACAACAAAAAGAAAAGTTATTATGAAATGTACATGAGAAAACAGGAATACTCCTTGATTCTTTTGCTTCTAGTAGTGGTAACACTAACACTGGACGAATAGCTGATAATTTTTTTAGTCCAAAAAAAAGTGAGTCAATCTGTTCTATAATTCTTAAAACTGAAGAAAAAGATAGCTTCTTGACTTTGTTATCTAAGTTTAATATTCTTCTTAGCTTTTATTGGGAAATAACGGCCGATCAACAATCAATGATCAGCTATTTTTGTAAAAATTTCGAAAAAATTATGGGAAAATAATCTGTTTTTGTGAAAAAATTACATTTGATCGGCAAGCTTTGAAAAACTATTTCGAGCGCTAGAATTTAGGATTTATTAGGAAGCGTGTCCACCCTGTAGTAAAAAAATAACCACAAATACTTTTTAAAAGAATCTTAATAAGCAGCAAAATTAGAACTTTAAGATAAAAAACAAAATGTGTAATAAGATACAGCAAAAGTAAAGGTCAACATAAATTAAAGTTAAGAAAAAAAATATTAATAAGGTAATTAAGAATAAATGTATATATATATATATATATATATATATATATTCTTATGGAGCTTATGGAGAAGACCAGTAAGCCAGACTTAATCAAACGCTTTAGAAATGTCAAGAGCAATGGCCTTAACCTCTCCACCTTTATCTATTGCACAATAAAACCTATTGGTTATTACTGTTAGCAAATCATCCGTAGAACGACAAGATCGAAATCCATATTGATGATCAGAAAGTAGGTTATGAGATTCAAGATGAGAGATTAAGTGTTTATTAATTAAAGGTTCAAAAACCTTGCTTATGATAGGAAGAAGACTAATGGGACGGTAGTTAGATGAATCAGATTGCTCTCCAGAATTTTTAAAAATAGGGATAACAGATGCTACTTTCCAGCAGGCTGGAAAACAAGACTCTGATAAGCACTTGTTAAATAGTTTTGAAAGGATAGACAACAGCTCCAGGGAACACTTCTGCAAGACTATAACAGGTATGTTGTCCGGGCCGCAAACTGTAGAAGAGTCAAAGCAGGAAATCACTTTAGATACAGAAGCTGGAGTGATACAAATGTCAAGGAATGGATCAACCTGTTTGATGGCTATATCAGGTAGAGCGCAACTAGTGGAGTCAAAAGATGATGAAAAGTTCTAAGCAAACAATTCAGCTTTGTCTTTAGGTGAGGTGACTAAGTCTGAACGATACAAAAGAGGTGGAATTACAGACTTGCCCTTATTATTGATACTATTAAAGATTCTTCAGAAGTCACGAGAGCCTAACTTTTGTGATGAAATACGAGATTTCATGATCTGAGAATAGCGGGCTTTGACGTTAGACAAAACCTTTTTACAATGGTTCCTAGCAGTAATAATATATATATATATATATATATATATATATATATATATATATATATATTTTTATATATATATATATATATATATATATATATATATATATATATATATATATATATATATATATATATATGTATATGTATATGTATATATATATATATATACATATATATATATATATATACATATATATATATATGTATATTTATATATATATATATATATATATATATATATATATATATATATATATATATATGTATATATATATATATATGTATATATATATATATATATATATATATATATATATATATATATATATATATATATATATATATACATATATATATATATATATATACATATATATATATATGTATATTTATATATATATATATATATATATATATATATATATATGTATATATATATATATGTATATATATATATATATATATATATATATATATATATATATATATATATATATATATATATATATATATATATATATATATATATATATATGTGAAATATCTGTGGTCATTAAATTCTTAGTCTTTTTAAAAACCATAAATACTGTTTTAATGAAACGGTTAGTTTATCATATTTGTGGATTCAGGCTGGCATTTCCATGCCAGCCTGAATCCACAAAGTTATGTAAGAAGCACATTTGTCAATAGGAAGACGAAAAATGGGGCCCCAGGGGCCATCATGAAGAAAATCACGGAAGAGTCCCAGTCAGCTTTAAGGTAGTTGTAAGATGTATGATGATAGGGGGATTCTGATGATAAAGAAGAATGAGATAATAGTTTTAGAGAGACCAAACTATGATCAGAGGCACCTAAAGGTGAGTGTGGAGAAACTGAGCACTGACTAGGATCAGAAACAAGACATAAGTTGAATAGAGAAGGTAAATGATTCGGGTTATCTAGAAAGCGAGTTGGAAAGTTGACTATTTGAGTTAGGGATTGAGAAAGGCAATTATTGTGGGCTTTAATGCCTGCAGAGTGACTGACACTAGAGCCAAGCCATTCAGTGTGATGAACATTGAAGTCACCGACAACAACAATATTGGCTGATGGATAAAGGGAGAGGGCTTGGTCAATATTATCAGAAATAACATCAAGAAGAGTGCAGTCTTGAGATGAGGGGAGAGATATAGAACAAAGAGAAAGGTGATAGAGTGAAGTGGTGCTAAACGAAAGTATATAAAAGAGTAGTCTGTGGATTCAAACCTAGTTTCCTGACAAATGGGTGAATTCTTATGAATGTAATATCCCAAGCCAAGCATGTGACTATGTGTCTTTACGAATTAAAGGAAGATAACCATCAACACTAAGATCACAAGATGAAACAGCTGAACTCAAATTTGTCTCACAAAGAGCAAGTAGGTCTGGTGAACTTTGCAAGAGATAAGACTCAACAGAAGAAAAGTTACGACGAAGACCATGAATATTGGTGAATGATAGGTTTAGCAAACTTGGTGATGTCTGTGGTTTTTTGTGTTTTATAGTTTTTGTTACTTTATTCATTTTTAGTTTTGTTAAAGAACTTGACTCGAAACATAGATAGAACTCAGTACACTGTTTTATAGCCCAAGCAATTGCCTTATTTCTATTAATAAACCCTAAGCCGTAACAAAGGGCTCCAATGTGGCCTTGGCAATGCACACCAAAAGTACAAACAGGGACACCATCCATGCGCAACATGGCACTGTTAGTACTCTGATATTTCTCAGCTGTTAATGGAATCAGTCTCTCTGAGAGCTACCACAGAGTTCGGGAAACCTGACTACCAGCCAACCTCAGAACCATAAAACCGAGTTTTAGAGCTGTACCCTTATTTGGAGATAATAGAATGGGTTGCCTAGTCATAAACAGAGACACAAGCAAATCCCATATGTCGAGTCAAGAAGATCCAGCATTCAACATCCTAAACTGGAAACAATGTATTAAAAATACATTTGCACCAGCCTAATAGATGAAGAAGGGGTGCTAGGCTGGTCAACAGATAGAATCTGTTTACCCCTTAAGTCTTTGCCTAGGAGGCCTTCTACAAGACAGCAGCCGGATGCATGTAACATCTCCCAAGATGAGTAATTTTATCGAGACACCATCTCCAGTCTTTACTCAACCAAGAGCCCCAAGGCAGTGGTGTTTTATGTCAGAGTTTGCATCTCCTAGCCTTTGCCTAAAAAGGCGTATCCTACAAGGCAGCATGACATGAAGCAGATTGTACTGGGTTACATGTTACCAGTAGCAGGATAAACCTGACCTGACAGATAATATATAAAACCTGACTTAAATAACATATAAAAGTATTTTATATCTTAATTAACAATTTCTTTTATTTAAAATATTCGATCATTGTTAAAGTCCATTAGATTGTTGTGATTAGCGCTTGTTTTTTAATATTTATATTGTAGTTTATCATGCTTTGTTTTTCTAGTTTTATCTGATGTTTTATAAAATAAATTGAAATATTAAAGTTTAAATTATAATCTTTAATAATAAAAAAAAATAATAGTGATAATATGGTTTTACATTAAGATTTAATATCATAATCGACGTAAATATTTTTTATTAAATGATATCTATCGAGTTTAGTGATCAAAACAGTTTTATGGTTTTTAAAAAGCTA